TCTCTCTCTCTCTCTCTCTCTCTCTCTCTCTCTCTCTCTCTCTCTCAATGCCCCGACACTTCAGCAGCCGCGTTCTGCTTTGAAACGATGCGTTTAGCAACGACCTATCATGCTAAAGCGAGAGTTGACTCCTCCCACACTAAGAAAACAGGAGGGGAGGGGTCAGCTGCAGGAGCTCATCCTGTGCAGCGGAGGGAGAGACACGAAGTAAACAAACAAGCAGGAAAATGAAACTTATCGGCCCCTTTTTTTTTACCGACCTCAAAAAAAGTTATCGTGCGATTAATTGATTTATTGACTATCGCGACAGGCCTAGAGTCAACCTGCTTAAAAATGACCATTACAAGTAATCACCCTGAGCAAACAAAAGAAAARTGGCTATCAAACCAAAAATGAGTCTAAAGTAGGAATGGTAGTAGTTGAGTCATCCCCAAAACACTCTGAGGACGACATCAGTGGTTCCCAGTCTATTTTCCTCAAAGCCCCCTTTTCTTACCTCCATGCCATGCTGAGCCCCCAATCCCTCGCTACTCCCCACTTCTCCAAAAGACATGTTCATTCTTTATCTCTACATCAAAATAATAAAAGAATAAAGTCAATCGTAAAGACCTTTTTTTATTTGGAAAAGTAAAAAAGAAGAACTGAGTAATACAGAGTTTAAATATTATTTCAAATGGACAGATATTATCTATTAAAGGAATCCCTTATTACTTGTAACATTAGGCATTGTTTGATAAACATTTATTTGAAACGTTGTCTTTTTCTTACAGACGTGCAACTTTTTCACGTGACCAAACTCCTGATCCTCAAAGGAGGTAGTGCTGCTCAGGAATGTGCTTCAGTTCTAATAATTAAACAGTATTAATGCTATAATAATGTTAAAGACAAATTTGCCCCAGATTATGATATTGATGTGTCTCCATTTAACTCGCATCTTTCCCCCAGAATCACAGTGTTCTCTTTGTGAGAGTCAGATTGAGATGATTGTAGTTTAATCTAAATATCTGCAAAATGTAACTCTGCCAGGTTTTATCAACAAGAAGATGCTGTAGCTGTTTGAATCATGTGCCAAACTTGACTATATTCAGAACAATGCTGAGAGTTAACTGTACTGTGATAAATATAATTTAATAAATATGAAAAATGACTACAAGAGCTGAAATCTTGTAAAGCTGTTTAAACCTCTCTTCCTTCAGAATGGTATCAGTCTTGAGATTCTTAACGGTCCAGGTTAAAGTCTTCATTAGAGAACACTGAACTGTACTTTTACTAAAGACGTGACGTATACACCTCTTTATGTGAAAAGGCTCTTGAATGTGTGGTAGGCAGCAGGGTAGTATTTTTTCAGCTTTAATTACTTAATCTTAATTATACTATGAGTGCCTCTCTTGCAAAATCTGATGAAGAGAATGAAGAGGAGAATGAAGTTGCACTCGCAGCTCCTGAAACAGTCTGACATTCAGAAGCTTGAAAAGTCCAAGCAGTCTTCAAGATCATTGTAGGAGCCATTTGTATTTTTCTGGGCATAGTTTGGGATCATCTTATTTTGTTTTTATAGTTCAGTTTGGTTTGGTGGCAGTGTTTGGTTTATGTGTGGATTGACACTTTGACCGATTTTTGCTCTACCACTGGTGGCGGTGTGGAGGGAAATCTATATAGGTGTTAAGGCAGTGGTTCCCAAACTTTTCAGCTTTTGACCCACAAAATACCAGCAGCAGAGACTGGGACCTCTAGCTGTTGTCAGTTGATAAACATCGTTTTCACATCAAATAAACAAGAGCATAGTAACGTTATTTACTACGCTATTTTTGTCTATTTTAAGTACACTAATTTTATTATTTTGTAATAACAAAGGCAAAGGCATGTGCTTAGTTGTCATTTTTTGTGTAATTAATTCAGAAAATATTTTCAGGACCCCACCTTGATGTTTCAGGACCCCACTCTGGGTCCCGACCCCAACTTTGGGAAACACTGTGTTAAAGTGTAACTTACCCCGCTGTGAAAAGATAACTCCGCCCCAAGGCGAAATTTGAAAAATGCATCAAAGTGGGTAGGGGAGGGGGTGTGGGTAGGGGAAGGGGGGTTAGAGAGCGGAGGTGTGGCCAGGACGAGAGAACGTGACTGGCAGCTAGCATTAGCATAATTGATGCTACATGGAAAGTGACCACAGTATCGCAGACAGTTACATCTCTGAACGTCTGAGGTGGAGGATTTTCACCCCACACCAGCACCGGACAGAGGAGGAGGAGCGCTCTGACAGCCTGACAGAAAAGAATAAAAGCACCCAGCTGCTCATGATCGCTAGTTTAAATCAGGAATAAAAGTAGTTTACCTGTATAAAGAGCCCTAAAAACCCATAAATTTTGCAGAAAATCCTTACAACTCGCACCCGKGGGGGKGGGGKGGGGGGGGGGGGGCTTCAGACATGTGGGTTGACATGTGGACTTCAGAGTCCACATGTCAACCCCTTCAGACGGAGCATCAAAAATCAGTAATTTGCGCAAAAAAATCAGTATTAATCACACGCGGGTGGGGTGGAGGTGTAAGTGGACTGCAGCCGCGCAGGGTGGAGAGGTCTTTTAAAGACGTGTCTACGTTTGACTTTTATTTTTGTCTAAAATCACATAGTTCTCTGAGTCAGCTTCAGGTGCTTGTAGTTAATCATAATATCTTCTAAATTTAACCAGGTGTTTCAAGGCCTTTAAATTACACAATAATTTTACTGGAGAAACTTGTCAGTTTGGTTAAAAAAAAACAGTAAAAATATTTTTTTTCTGTGCAGAGAATGTCCTCTGCTATAAATTTTTCAAATAAACATATCAAAGCTCCTCAGTTGAAAACACTAGAATGATAGAAAATGTTTAAAAACCTCTTTCCTCAGAAAGTCTTCAGTCCCAAGAACACTAAACTGTAACTTTTAATAAGTACACAGTGTACTCCTATTTAAATGAAAATGTTTGACCTGTAAGCATAAAGCTAATGGATGTTGGATGTTGATTTTTGGTCTGTATTTCAAAGAGGATGAGGAGCAGAATGAGGAAGTTCTCCTCAAGCAGCTTCTAAAACTGTCAACCTGCTGACTGAGAACATATGTATTTAGTAAACTTTGTATACATAACAATATACTTATTAAATTACATTTTAATTTCCATTTACCCCGCCCCCCCGGCACATGAGAGGTCACCACAACACCACGGTTAAAAAAAAATCCTAGGGGAAACCCTGAGTCGTATTTTTTTTTATGTCTGCAAGGTGTTCATGTGCAAAAAACATGAAACATATACTTCATCACTATTTAGTTCATTGTTCTCTGCTGTTCATAAGCATTCTCATATCACTTTGTCTCTATTTACAGATGCCTCTGCTTTTAACATAATCCATCAGTCTTACCTGTTCCCTTTTTCCTCACCTGTTTTTAACCGTAGCCACTATAGACCCATAATTGTCCACATTTGACATCCAGTCTGTCTCAGCTGTTAAGCTCTCAGCTATTATTGTCTTCGTTTTAGGTGAATAACAGGAGTTTACTTGAAACAAACCAGCTTATTTACTGAATTATAGAGGCTCCTTCTAAAACACAATTGTCGTGGTTGATTTTTTTGTCAAGCAGCTTGTTGTAAATGGTATAGTGTTCCACCATATATATATTTTTAGTCATTTATTTCTTCCAACATCAAATGATGATACTGTAAAATGAAGAAACGGACATAACCTTTTTATTAAAAACACAAATTGAGTCAAATGGACACTGGAACAAGTTAAATTTGTTTAATAGCATGTTTCAAACTCGTGATCTGTTGTATAGAAAATTTCATCAGTTACTAACACCCTACAAGCTAGTTTGATAAAAAAAAAAAAAAAAATTTTACTAGACATTGCAGTGGAAAACTGCCTAAACAGAAGTACACACAAACGAAGCCAAAACTGTAAAGCGAAAACCAGTGATTACACAATGCCGTCCACTTCTACATCATCCAGAGCAGCATCCATTCACATTGTAAAGTAAAATATAAACTGAAATATTAGATACAAATGATTTGTTTGTTTGGTTGAACAATAATTCTCTGTGGTGACCTTCATTACTTTTGATTTACTTGTGGTTTTCCTCATATGACTGTGTTTTAGTAGGGTCATAGAGCATCGAGGATGGACTGAGATGTTAAAAAAGACTGTCGAAATCATTTTTCGCCTGAAGACAAATGGCTTACATTTTTCTCACAGCAGATAATGCACAAAGGGGGAAAACAGAGGCGGATATTTGTAAGTGTCTGCACTCTGATACAGCATGTGCTGTTGAACAAAAGCTGCTCTATGAAGGGCCTCTCCTCAAGGCTCAGATTGTTATGTCATTCTTTCTCCGTCTTCTCTCCGTTTTGCTGTTTCTTTTTTCTCTTCTTTCTCTGTTTCACTGCCTCATTGTTTTCCTACAATACCTGCTTTGGTATTTTTCGTCTGTATATCGTTGACTTTAGAACTGTTGCAGATACAAAGTACATCTACGTGTTAAACTCGCAGTTGACCTTTTTACAATTACTAACGTGCCTATATAAAATTGGGCACAATGCCCCAATACATTCATTCTTTTATTCAAGGTCATGTGCACTTGTAACTGTAAAAAGGTCAACATGTGTGGAGCATTAAGCTACATGTGAAACTTGCTAATAAAGGAACRTTTTCCCGCATTTGATTGCAGTTGTGCATCATGTACTGTAATATCTATGTAGTTCGGTTTGTCACGCTCTCAGTGACTGTRTGACTTGAAACATTATTGTGTAATAAAAAAATAGGGCAACTTTTTTTTTGTTCTGAGTGTCAACATGTGGCATTTCTGACATGAAAAATTCAAACTGGATCTTATGAAGGGACATTTCAAGCTTGAGTTGAGTCAGTTTTTATTCTACTGGTTCTTGTTTTGTGTAGCTGTAATGATTTAAGTTAGATCATTTAATTGGTCACTTAATAAATGATGTCTGTGCTGTCGGCGGATGCAAACTCAGAAGGGAAGGAGGGAGAACATATTTCTAGCAGCACAGTGGGTTGGACATGGATAATATTTGATGCTGTTAATTGTTTTTTAACGTCCTACAGGCTCTGACATGGTAAATACGTTTTAAAYGGAGTTTTTGGAGACAAATAAAAAAAGTCCGGTCAGGACGGTGCTGATCTGTCCGCAGCTGATCTGTGGAGACACACCTCCACCTGTGAGCAGAACCCTAAGTGACGCTCACAGCAGCAGTCCATGGAAGAACTGCGTCCATGTCAGAGACCTGCCCCCCGAAATATCACTSTGTTCGGTTCTGCGGTAGGTGGAAGTGTGTCGACTACGGCTCAGCTGTGAGCAGATGAGCACCTTCGTGACCGGACTTTTTCTTTAATTTAAAAACTTGGGTGCGAGTTATACRGATTTTTAGCAAAACTTACGGTTTGGGGTTGACATGTATGTAAATATAGTGATTAATTCGCTAAATTGATACCGCTGAGTTCTGCAATCCACCAGCACTGTCAAAAAAAAAAAGAAAAAAGTGTGTCTACTGCTCGCTGCAGACAGATCAGCACAGTCCTGACCGGACTTTTTTTTATTTGTCTCCAAAAACTCAGTTTAAAATGTATTTACCATGTCAGAGCCAGTAGGAYGTTAAAAAACAATTAACAGCATCTAATATTATCCATGTCCAACCCACTGTGTCCCCCCCGGAACCGCAGCGGGTTTTGCTGCGACCTCCTACCCGCCCTGAAAGCACCGACAGACGGGTCAGTCTTCGCACATCATCGCTCCCAGCTGCTGTTAGTTATTGATCAGATGCTGCTACTGACCGATACATGATGTGATGTAAATGTAACGTGTTCTATAGGTAAAATTAATCACTGCAATAAAATAACTGTTTGWTTTTGTCACTTTTACGTGGATTTCATCAGTTCTGTTACATTACAGAAGGAAGCTTCACTGA